ACCAGGCGATCTCCCCCCTCCCTGGCAAGGTAAGAAGCAGGGAAGGGGGAATAAAAAAATATATATATAAACACATAAATTTAAAAAAAAAATGCTTCCCCTCCTATCATCCAGCACACGCACACATCATCCAGCACACACACATCATCCAGCACACACACATCATCCAGCACACACACATTTTCCAGCACACACGCACATCTTCCAGCACACACGCATCTTCCAGCACACACACACTGCATTCATTACACACAATCTGCACTTACTACAAACACACTACATTCATTATACACACTCTGCACTCACTACACACACTGCATTCATTCTACACACTCTGCACTCACTACAAACACACTACATTCACTATACACACTTTGCACTCACTACATTCACTATACACACTCTGCATTCATTATGCACACACTGCATTAATTGTACACACTCTGCCAAGGCTGCCATCAGAAATTTTGGGGCCCCTGACACAGTTCAAAGTGTGGGCCCCCTGGGCCCGCCCCCGAGTCTGCCCCCGCAGGTGAACATATAGATAGCTATAATCACTATCTATATGTGCACAAATGAGCAGTCCGGGCCCCCAGGACCGTCAGGCCCATGACACTCTGCACTCACTCGGCCCTGCACTCTGCACTCACTACACACACTGCATTCACTATACACACTCTGCACTCACTACATTCACTATACACAATCTGTACTCACTACAAACATACTACATTCACTACACACACTGCATTCATTATACACAATCTGCACTCACTACAAACACACTACATTCACTATACACACTGCACTCACTACATTCACTATACACACTCTGCACTCACTACAAACACACTACATTTATTATACACACTGCACTCACTACAAACACACTACATTCATTATACACACTGCATTCATTATACACAATCTGCAATAACTACAAACACACTACATTCATTATACACACTCTGCACTCACTACACACACTGCATTCATTATACACACTCTGTACTCACTACAAACACACTACATTCACTATACACACTCTGCACTCACTACATTCACTATACACACTTTGCACTCACTACATTCACTATACACACTCTGCATTCATTATGCACACACTACATTCATTATACACACTCTGCATTCACTACAAACACAATACATTTATTATACACACTCTGCATTCACTACAAACACAGTACATTTATTATTCACACTGCACTCACTACAAACACACTACATTCATTATACACACTCTGCATTCACTACAAACACACCTCATTCATTATTCATACTCTGCACTCACTACAAACACACTACATTCATTATACACACTCTGCATTCACTACAAACACACTACATCATTATACACACCCTGCACTGCACTATATGCATAGGAGTGTAAATGATTTTTTTTTGGGGGGGGGCAGGAATCTTGGGTGAGTTCCCACACTTTTTTCCCCAGGACTTGACCCCTGATGGCAACTCTGTACTCTGCAGCAGCATGCCCCACTTCTTCACTTATTTCTCCCTCCTAAACTAGATTTATTCTTTCTATGCATAATACAGTTTATCATCAGCCAACATCTCGTTGAAACTTGAACATCTTTCTTCTAAAAAAGTCTTTATCACAGTTCCAGTGGTCATCCTTGAAACAAAAGCATATTTGCATGCCTCCCAACCATCCTGAATATGGCAGGACTGTCCTGATTTTCAGGTCCTGTCCCACCACTTTTGGGGACACCAGGGAACTGTCTCCAACATCAGTGGTGTATTCTGGTTTTGTGCTGCCCTAGGCATGACAAAACTCGGGCACCCTCCCTCCTTCTTTCAACATTTCTCTTTCTGACAGACACACGCCCTCACTGATGCATGTACTGACATACATTCACTGACAGATACACAGTCATTGTCACACACACTGTTTAATCAACACACACTTTCACTGAAACATACTCATTCACTCACACTCACATTCACTGACAGACATACGCAATCACTGTCAGACACACACTAACAGATGTACACTCACTCAGTATCAGACACACATACACTGAGACACAGATATACTAGCTGACAGATAAACACGGACAAACACACATACACACTCACTGACACACTCAGTGTCAGACACACACCCATTCAGTGACAGACACACACTGACATACACACACTAACATACATATTCACTGATAGACACACTCTCAGTGACAGACACGCATACACACACTGACGAACACACTCACTGGCAAACACATATACACTTTCACTGACAAACACACATACACACTCACTGACAAAAACATATACATGCTCAGTGACAGACACATACACACACTCTCTGATAGACATATACACACTCACTAACAGACAGACACACACACTAACACACACTCATCAAAAAAAAAGACTGGGATGGCAAATCCGTCCGCATAAAGCAGGTGGATGTCCACTCCACCAAAGGGTATCTTTTAAAAATAAAATTCGTACTAGTGGTATAGTGAAACCTAACATAAGTTAAATACTAGTGAAAACCAAGTGATAATACACCTTTAAAATCTGTGAGGAGTTGTCCTAAGTAGCCACATTAAATACCAGGAGGATAATATTTAGCTTGTATAGAGAAAATTATCTTCCAATTTAAATTCATAAAATAAATGTCCAAGTGAATTCCTCCAAGATATCAGTGTATAAATAGTCAGTGGCTAAATGTATACAGAGGCTGTGTATAGTAAATCTTATCTACAGGGTACAAAGGCTGTAGTAAGAAATGCACTCCCACAACAGGGTACGTATTTGTAACAGATTGAAACAAGGTCTATACTAAAACTCAATAGGTTTACCAACAGCACACTAGTGGATACTTGAATATCCTTAGAGAGATTATTTATAGAGTGGTAAAAACGCAAATATTATTCCAAAACTATTATCAGTTACACATTTTAACACATCCGACCAGGTAAAGAGTGCATTGGAGCGTTGGGTATTGTAAGGAAATGCTCCTATTTCTATGTGAGGACAGATAGAGGTCAGTTGGAAAGGTAATGAGCTCAAATACGTGTTTAAACAGACAGAAGGTGGGGTGGGGGGGCTACCAGGATCACTGAAAACAGATACACTTCAGAGTGACAATATCATGCAGTTATTGGACGGTACTAATGATGAAGGGTATATATAGAGCAATCCTTTCAGTATAGCGGTCGCCCTACCACAGATATAACCACGGTGTGGAATCTTCCTGGATCAAATAGACCTCACACAGACATAAACTGTCAACTAAACATGGCTCTATACCCTCACGTAGTAAAGTCTATTTCCTGTCTCCTACTGCTGCTGCGAGGCAGCCTGCCTATTAATACCCATTCTCCATTAACCACAAAGCCTCAATCAGACTAAGTCCCCCAGAGTCTAAAACCAAAGTAAGAGAATCGGCAAAAAGAAACGCTCGACGTGCTTTTCGGCATATATACATGCCTTTGTCAAGAGCTACCGGCATCACTGTTAAGGACTGAATATAAAGGTACACATAGCTCCACCTCCAAATGAGCGTATCCAATCCGCTTGTACGGAGCATAATGGGGGCGGGAATCCTACCGGATCAAATACGCCCCTTATTTCCTTTGCCACTCACAGTGATTTGGGGGCATGGAAACGGTGCATTCATAGCCATGGGCAGACAGATCTAATATGCCCCTTATTTTTCCGCCACTCACAGTGGTTTGGGGGCATGGTGTAACGGATCGCCTGGCACCCCGACTGGGTACCTCCGTTAAAGGATGCTCCTAGCGCTTCCTGAGGACTCCAAGCACTGCAGCAGACACCACAACCACCGAACCGGAGAAGCATATGAATCCTCTCAAGCATATGAATGCTATAGACAGTTGAATAGGAACCATACGAATAGGTTTACTCTCCTAGCAGTCAAACTGGAACAGCATACAATAAATCCTTCCCCCAATAATGAGACGACACTTCACTTTGAGGGTTAAAACAGGAACTCCCTGTACTGTCACATACAGTCTCTTTTATTCCCAATCCACAAACATAGTACAGCCCACAGGGCGTTACAAAACAGCCAATCAATCCATACAATACACCCAGACACTCCCACACAAAATCCTCCCCTCTGGCTGTGATATGATTACTGAACACAATGGGTAATCTAATTATCACAGCCAGAGAAATACAGTTTCATAAAACACATCACAGGGACCCCAAAACATGCAATAACCCCATAAAATCCTTGGAACTGGGGGATCTGGGTGAACCACATATCCAAAATTCACCCAGATCCGTTCACTGTGGTGCGGGCAAAAGAGCTTAAGCAGGGAGAGCGTCCTCGCCACCCGCCTCCAACATCAGTGCATGCCAGCCTTGGGGGGGCCCTGAGGTGGCCAGCTCCTGGACCCCAAGGACAAGTGGCTGGCAAGGCCAGGGTGTTTGGTGAACGGCTTTTTTTGCCACCCCCCTGAAAGTGCCCCCAAGGCAAATGACTTGCCAGCCTCACGGCAGATACATTGCTGCCCAACATCATAGTGCGAGCGGACCAGTAGTGGTGCTTGTGAATGATTAGGGCACCAGGTCCTGCATTGAAACTGTGCTCCCTGTAGGGTCTGCTCTCAGTGGGCCGGCCTGTATGAGTGACATGTGTGGACCCTCCTATTTTCTGCACAGACCCAATCCTTTGGGGGCAGAGCTAGTGACACAATCGCATCACTGGCCCACTCCCTTCACCTCACTCCCACAGGCATCCCAATTCTTAGGAAGCCGGAGTTGGCATGTAGTTGTAGCATAAACTTCTTAATAAAATGGAGACTAATTAAAACAAGATAGGCATTTGACCTACAAGCTCTGTGTTCTCCTTGCTTAAGCTAATAATCAGTTATTTAATATTAGATTGTGCCTCTCGTAACTTTGTTACTTGTCTTTTTAATTGTTTTGTAGTAAAACATCAGAACCAAGTTTACTGACACCATTGAAAGCAAAGTTTAAAATATTTTTCTAATAACGTTTTTATTAAATGATGCTCAATACAATATGGCAATATTACAATAGTATAAATGACTTGTACAAAGTATATAATGGGGTCCAAAAACTATATTGTTTTAAACAAAATATATTCTGAGAGTTATCACATTAAACAAGACAAAACAGCAATTTTGTGCATTTATTTGTCCTCAGAGGAAGACAGGTTTACAGAAAGTGTTTGTTTGAAAGCTTGAACGTGTAATTGAGGCTTTTTATTTGTTCTTATGCTGTTCTGCTCCTGCACACTCCCATTGAAATTATTATATTATATTGACTGTGACAGGACTAGTAAGAAAGTTTAAAGATATGCGTGGGTACTTTTCAAAAAGGTAAACAAGCTGTTCAATAAGGAGTTTTTTTTTTTTGTATCACAGAAGCTCACCAAATAAACCATATCAAGTGTTGTATTCCTCATTACCTGTCAGTGTCTCCCCGTTATTCTGTCTATTACCAAGCCAACTCCACTGGGTGATCTGTTTCCTAACATGAGGTTTGATTTAATATCTTTGGATAGACATTTCAAATTATTTTATTACTATTTTTTTTTTTTAGTTTACTAGAAATATTAAAGTGGCACTGTCACCCTCTCCCCCTCCAAAATGGGTATTTCATAGATAGAATCTGTATTAAATACTCAAATTGCTTGTGTTAGAATTTCAATGAAGTGGTCTGGGTGCCAGGTCCCTCTAGTGTGAACCCTGCAGCTGTAAACATAGCAGTTTCAGAGAAACTGCTATGTTTACACTAGGGTTAATCCAGCCTCTAGTGGCTGTCTCACTGACAGCCACAAGAGGCCGCTTCCGCGATTCTCACTGTGAAAATCACAGTGAGAAGACGCTGACGTCCATAGGAAAGCATTGAGTAATGCTTTCCTATAGGCGGTTTGAATGCGCGCGCGGCTCTTGTTGCGCGTGCGCATTCAGCTCTGTCAGCGGCAGGAGGAGGAGAGTTCCCCAGCGCTGAGGGAGCCTAGCGCTGGAGAAAGGTAAGTGTTTTAACTCCTTCAGCCCAGCAGGAGTGGAACCTTGAGGGTGGGGGGTACCTAGAGACACTATAGTGACAGGAAAACACGTTTGTTTTTCTGGCACTATAGTGGTCTTTAAAGCTCTTTCTATGGATTTTCTTAAGGGATTCTCCATAGATCTCAATGCTGTACTCTCGTGCATGCATGTACAGCGATAAAGAAGAGGAACAAGAGGATGGTGGTGCCCACAAGGTACAGGTTTAGATACCTAAATCTCACTGTTGCTGCTAGTTTAATGCTACTAGCCAGGCATTAATGGATACTTGTCACTGCAAGTCTGTGAATGTGCAAGTGAATTCATCAGGCTATTTGCTAGGGCTAATTTTTCACTCACCAATAGCAAAATTTTGAGCCCTGATATCTGTGCTGATTTAATGTTCTTACATATGTTATTTTATGTAAGTCATGTAAATTATTTTACATGTTGTGTCCCATATGACAATCTGTCTAGAATGGCTGCTTTTTAGCAAATCTTTTATGAAACAAAAAACACAATGTGCAATACAGTGCAGCAAATACAAAACTCCCAGGAATCTAGGTTGCTTGTTTTCATCTTAGATATGATTTGTAAAAATAAATAAATAATAATAAAGTGCGTGGATCCTTGTTATGTAAGTGTCATATACCACTATGGCTTTTATAAGAACTCTATAGGCACCAAGATAACTTCATCCCAATGAGGTGGTATGGATGCTATGTCACCTCCGTCTTAACCCTGCAGCTGAAAACATTGCCGTTCTGCAGGGACGGCAATGTTTCCATTGCAGGGTTAACCTAATTAAAGTGGCTGTCATACCGATAGTCACTAGAGATGCTTCTGCAAAATAGTGAAGTAAAATGCCACTATTTCTATCACATGGTCCCAGATAGACCATCTGATTGGCGAAGCACAGTGTTTTGCCACACATGCACACTAACACCCAATGGATTGGCTGAGATCACTGGTTTCGATAATCTCAGCCAAAGAGGTAGAGCTTCCCTGAGGAGACCGGTGCTGCGAGGGAGAATGGGTACGTAGAATCACCTTTTGATCCTAGCAGCAGCGGCCTGGTCATCTAAACAGTGACTAGGGCACTATAGTGTTAGGGATACATTTTTGCATTCATAGCACTATAGTGTTCCTTTAAGAATGGCCTAGTTTTAAATCTCACATGGCATGAAGGTTCAGTGTCCTACCTAGAATCAAATGTGATTATCCTTGAAACATACCAAGGATAGATGCTGAGAACCATTTAAACACTTAAGGCTGCACAGGATCCTCTGTTTCAAGCATTCCTTGTCCCATATTCAGTTGCTGTGGCTCTCGAATTGGGTCTTTGCCCTCGTGTGGATTGGCTGCTCCTGAGAAGGACACAGAGATACACAGAGAAATATGTCCATCTAGAAACTTGAAAGTAGAGGTATATTTTGACTTTTTCTGTTATAGTTGTAATATATATTAACTGAATGCAACATTTTAGTTTTTTTACATCTTAGTACAATTAAAGTATTTTTTTGCAAAACATCTATTAGCTTGCACTTTTATTTTAATCCCCATATGTTTTAACAACTGCATGTAAATTTAAATATTATTGAGGCTATAGAAATTACGGGTCAATGTATTCTACTCATTCTTCTAGCAACAGTATTCTAGCAGACTACAGCTTCCATAAATAGCTTTATGTTAACAATGCAATAACTTTTTCCCCTGTATTAACCTCTCTTACTTCTGTTCGAATGCTCATCCATGAGTCCACTACCCTTTCACTGAGGTAGTATTTCCTTACATTTGCTCTCTTTGAGAGTGGGATCTCTCTTTGAGTGGCAGAGTGCCTTCTATGTTTGTTTCAGTAGTATTTCTGGACAACTTACGGCTGTGTTTTAGACTCTTGATGTGCTCGCTGAAATGTCTTCTGAACTTCTTGGTGAGGAAACAGTAGATAATTGGATCTAGCATGCAGTTTGTGCTCATTAAACACAGTGTCACCTGATGCACATCATTCAGTGTCTGGCGGAAACTGCAGTCATTTTCATGCCACATTCTCAGGACAGTCAAAGTCCATGGACCATCTACAATATGGTGAGGGACAAAACATATGACAAACACGCCCATAACCGCGCACACCATCCACAGAGCTCGATGCTTCATTTCTGCACTCTGCTTGGCCTGGATAGGTTTGGTTAATAATGTCCTGATAATTACAAGGTTGCATACTAAAATGATGACAAACACAACAAAGAAGGCTCCAACCAGAATGAAGTGGATGATGGCAACAGGACCACTGTTTTCAGTGTCATAGCCTTCAAAGCAGCGAGTGAAGTTGACACCATTAATATTAACCGTGTTGGTTCCGGGATTAATAAGGAAAAATAAAGAGCTGGAAAATACAAGGATCCAAACAGCAGTTGAGATACAGATGCCTCTTATTCTAGCAGTTGACTGAGCTGTTTCCACTGGCCGTGTCACAGCCTGGAATCTATTGTAGCTAATGACTCCAAGAAAAGCCACTGAACAATAAGTATTTAGGAAAAAAAGGCAGCCAGCCACATTGCACAGAAATGGTGGCATTAGCCAGTCACCTTGATAATGGTAATATGCTATCCAAAGAGGCAATGTCACCAAGAACAGCAGGTCAGCCACAGTCAGATTGATCATGAATATTTTAATTTCGCTCAACCTTTTAGCTGGATAAACCCGAGTAAATACCCACAAAACATAGCAGTTGGCAGTGAAACCAAAGATAAAAATAATTATGTATGACACAGTAAAGAGAGTGTATCGAAAATGAGAATCCACTGTGCAGGGGTCAACAAGCTTTTGCTGGTTTTCCATATCTGTTAGGTTCTATTTTGAAGTTTTTCTTTTGTCCTCACAGCTTTGAGTCCTACAACAAAATAGATAATTTAGTGAGAGAAATATTGTCTTCTGCGAATGATAGTATACATTTTTTTAATGTGAAAAATTATATAAAATTTGACTTAACTAATGCAGTTCTTTAAAAAAACAAAAACAATAATGTAGCTGGATGGGTTCTTCAGAAACTTAAAGCAGCACTGTCATGGCCGAATCCAATTTTTTTTTAACTCTCCCCCCGACTCCACTTTATCTAATTGTCCCCCTAGTTACCCCAAATGCCCTTAAGCCCCCCATATTACCTATTTTTGTATCTTAATTTTGAGGGACACGTCATCTGCCCACACTAGATAGCGCTGTTAAATTCCCACGCATGCCCAGTTAAACTCTTGGGCATTCGATATTGTCCGCAACTCAGATGGAAATTTTGTCCATTCACTCATTCATCAGAAAGACAAAGGAATGAATAGAAATTTCAGACGAACAAACAAACACCGAATATCGGTGTTCATTTGTTTGTTTGTTCAGTTTATCAAAAGGAGGGAGCTAGAGGTGCGTAGCTCCCTTCTTGTGATATGTAAAAATAGAAGCGGAAGGGAGCTGTGCTCCCCGCCACTTCCTAAGCCCCCCATGTCCTCCCTCACTCTATGGAGGTCAATGTGATGCCCATATTAGCATAAGTATAAGAGAGATTGAAATCATCCGAATGACCCTAAATAACAATGGGGACCCTAAATGACAATGGGGGTGACCTATTGTCCTCCTCCCGGCCCCCACCCATAAGCGGTGGGTGGGGCCCTAAAAGATAATGGGAGGAACCTATTGTCTCCCCCTGGCTCCCACCCATGAGCGGCGATGGTGGCCCTAAATGAAAATGTAGGAGTGACCTATTGTCCCCCCACCAGGTCCCCACCCATGAGCAGTGGGTGGAGGCCCTAAATAACAATGGGGGGACTTATTGTCCCCACCCAGCCCCCACCCATGAGCAGTGGGTGGGCCCCTAAAAGACAATGGGGGGAACCTATTGTGCCTCCCAGCCCCCACCCATGAGTGGCAGGTGGGGACCCTAAATGAAAATGGGGGGACCTATTGTCCCCCCCCTGACCTCCCTGCTAGTTAATAGATGCCTCACCATGTGGCCATTTTTTCTTGGGGGGGGGGGGTGCTTTATTTATTTTTTATTTTTTACAACAGTGAGCAGCCACAGGCATAGCGAGTAGGGGCAGAATGTACTAATACTAAGTCATTTTTACTTAGTATTTATAAAGTTGGCTGAAAGACCAATTTTGGTCTTCTAGCCTTTTAGTAGATAGGTCCCTAATACCGTGGGCAAGATGACGCCACGGATCGGATCTTCATTCATTCATTCTAATGAAATTTTGAACCGACCTAAAAGTACCAAATGTTGTCGTAACATGAATGAACAAACTGTTCTCATTCTGTTAGGACAATATCATTCAGGCTTATCTATCATGTCTAACTGTGAGGTAAGAGGACGCTGAGACACAAGCCAGCATATTGTATTTAACTAGATATGCAATTTAACATAGGCTTAAACTAGCTTAACAAGGGGTATAAGCACTAGATTATTAAATTTAGCCACTACAGATGATTCATTAGGGAACAATAACAGAGCAAATATAAATAGCTTGTAACTTATAAAGAAGTACTCAGTGTTAAATCATCAAATTGGCCTTCTGCTCAGGAGACTAAACATGCGAGAAACAAATTACACATGGATTAATAAAACAGAAAATAAGAAGAGCTGTGGAGAATCTGTGGGCTTGTCATACTGTTGCTTAGCCGTCAAAGGAGATCTTAACTAGAGTCCCTGAGTTTCACTATAATGAGTTAGTGAGAATAAAGTTATATTTAGGGTTATCTTTTACCAATATGCGTCCTACACTATTCATATATTTCAAAGACCGTCAGTCTTTGAGACTTGCAATGCTGATTATTTTTGCTCTGTATATTAGGTGCTAAGGTGCATCTTAAGGAGGCCATAAGCTAATTCCTAGAACACACCAGAAAACATACTATACTTGCATTTTAAAAACATAAAAAAATAATTTTATATTAACACACACATATATATGCAAAAATAATCAGCATTGTAAGTCTCAAAGACTGACGGTAGACAAGTGGGAGAAATGTAAGAAATATACACACATGCATATACATATATATATACATACACACACACACACACACACACATACATACATATATTTATATACATACACACACACATACATACATATATATACACAAACATATACACACACATACATACATATATATATATATACACATACATACACACACACACATACATATATATATATATATACACACACATACACACACACACATACATATATATATATATATATATATACACACACATACATATATACATACATAGATATATATACATATATATATATATATACATACATATAGATATACATATAGATATACATATATACATACATACATACATATATACATACATATATATATATATACATATATATATATATATAAATACATATATACATATATAAATACATATATATATACATCCAATATGCAAATAGATGGCTGCACTCACAGTCTTTCAATAAAAATTTGCTTTTATTCCAAAATAGTTAAAAACTGGATCAACGTTTCAGTCCCCCATAGGGACTTTCTTCAGGATCATAAACCTAATCCTGAACAAAGTCCCTATGGGGGACTGAAACGTTGATCCAGTTTTTAACTATTTTGGAATAAAAGCAAATTTGTATTGAAAGACCGTGAGTGCAGCCATCTATTTGCATATTGGATGTTGGAGCCCTGGTATTGCACCCGGCCACATAGTTTTGCAGCCAGAGTGCAAGGTATTGTAGTATATATATTATAAATATATATATAATCTTCTTTTGAATCTGATAATTGTATGACCATAATAATTTCCCAAAGAATATGATGTAGAACGAGAAGAGAATAGCAGATTATTGAGCAACTGAAGAGAAGTGCAGTGGGCAGACTTACCTGGTCTGTGATACAGATGCTTTAAATAATTACAAGTTTTCAAGCAGCAGTTTTATGATGAGATTAGAGAAGTTCTATTCAGAATCAAACCTCAGCAGTCTTTCATTTTGTTTTATTCCTCTTTCTAATCATGTCTGATACTTTTCTTTAAGAAAGAGTTAGGAGGGTGTGGATTAAGCAAAGGGCAATGGGCAGGAAACATGTAAGTCTTAAACGGATGGACAGAAAAAAAAATAGAGAAGTGTAGAAATACACGTTCCTAAATATGTTTCGTAAGTTTGGATTTTTATCAGCCTAGGGCTAAATGATGTTAAAAACATATAGCTAGATTCCATTATAAGGGGAAAGCATATCTCATGTAACTAGATAGCTATTTTCCAATAATATCTGTGTGTGAGAACTGTTAATTCAATTACTAGATTTAAGATTATCTCTAGTAATAGGATCCACCCCTAGACATGATTTTCAAAAAATATTATTAACTTGCTAACTCGAAGCTACAAACCCGTGGTATGTGGAGAGGAGGTGGTGGGAAAAATCAATTTTGTCTTGACACTGCATACCTGGGAATTACCTCCTTTTTTTTTTGACATCTGGAAAAAGACCAATGGTGATTTAAATGCAATTTATCATCCATCTGTTTGGCTGTTTCAAATTCAGCTTAGTTATAGTTGCCTATTCATTGAAAATAGTTTGTTTAAGAAAAATAAAACTATAAGTACATGATAGACTCTATTATGCCCCCTCTCGTTCCCCTTCCCTCCCCCCACCCAACTATGCCACAAGGGGTGATGTCAGGAGTCCAAAAGAAGTACGCTTGTTTTCATTCACAACTGATAAAAGACATCTTAACTAGATTTCATGAGAGTCTGTTGGCTGGTCAACTGAATATATGCTCTATAACTGACAGTGTGTCTGTATATGTACAGCTATCAGTCAAGCATATGTAAATGTATTATTATTATTACTGACAGTGACCTGCTATAGCTAACATGAAACCCTCCAATAAATACACTATCCTAAAATTATGTTCAAATAACCCTGCTCTTAGATAAACAAAATATATTAGAAGAGTGTGGGTGCCAAATCAACAAGATATCACTGTCCCCAATTCCATGTTCTTCAGGATAGTCATGTGTCACTTCTATGTTCCTGATTAATCTAAGGAGAACACATGCCAGGATGATGCACATCTAAATCTTAAAAGTCTAATGCAAGTGGGCAGCTTTTTAGTTTTTTCCCAATACTCACTAACCATTACTTATCAGTGATTGAATAACGAGAGAATTCATTATTCCATGTTAAAGAGCGCACTAAGCAGCATAGTCACTACAACATCTGTACACCACAAACACAACTTGGTCTAAGCTCTCTCACCTCACCTCACATGGTAGGAGAAGTGGACCTGCTTTGCTATTTTTAAAATTTATTTTGTAAATTTTTATTTTTGACAGGCATTGAGAAAAAGTGTTTATATACAGGCATAAGGGGAAAGATTTACATGAGGTCATATGCAGAGGTATAGAGAATAGTTTATTGAGTAACAGAAAATCAACCTTTGCAGATGTATACAGTAGACAATAACTATTGAGTAGGTAACAAATTTTTTTTGTTTTAACAATAAACATGCTAATCATCTCAAAAGCAAGAGCAAATAAAACGAAACACCTTTAAATGTAATCATCATCTTGCAGTTTGAGAGTGAGTGAATATACAAAAGAAATTATAACCAGCAACTCAGTGTCATGTTGATATTGTTGATACAGTGAGGGAAAAAAGTAATTGATCCCCCGCTGATATTGAACGTTTGTCCACTGACAAAGAAATGATCACTCTTTCATTTTTATGGTAGGTGTATTTTAACAGTGAGAGACAGAATCAGAAAAAAAAATCCAAAAATGTTATTCATTGATTTGCATGTCAATGAGTGAAATAAGTATTTGATCCCCTATCAATCAGCAAGATTTCTGGCTCCCAGGTGTCTTTTATACAGGTAACGAGCTGAAATTAGGAGCACTCTTAAAGGGAGTGCTCCTAATCTCAGCTCGTTACCTGTATAAAAGACACCTTTCCACATAAGCAACCAATCAGATTCCAAACTCTCCACCATGGACAAGACTAAAGAGCTGTCCAAGGATGTCAGGGACATGATTGTAAAGTAATAGAGGTCCAGGCACTCCTTGGTTCAAGACAGATACTTTATTAGGAACCAAAACCGTGGTTCTGGTTCGTAATAAAGTACCTGTCTTGAACCAAGGAGTGCCTGGACCTCTATTCCTTTATTAATGTTTGGAAATCTGGTGTTTGATTCCGGTTCAGCAAGCACCCTGGCTCAGATTTATGGGAGTGGGTGCAGTTCCACACACTACTAAAGGGACAAGATTGTAGACCTATAGAAGGCAGGAATGGGTTACAAGACCATTACCAAGCAGCTAGGTGAGAAGGTGACAACAGTTGGTGCATTTATTTGCAAATGGAAGAAACACTAAATAACTGTCAGTCGCCCTCGGTCTGGTGCTCCATGCAAGATCTCACCTCGTGGAGTTTCAATGATCATGAGAACGGTAAGGAATCAGCCCAGAACTACACAAGAGGATCTTGTTAATATAGACAAAAAACAAAATTCCACCTAAAAAAGGAAGGAATAAGTGCAGGTGGATTGGCGCTTAGAACACAGAACAGCAACTACCCCCAGTGTCTACAAATCACTCAAAGACACTACCAAATAGTGATAAAACAAAGTGGGGGGTGCAATATGTAGATATAAAACATAAAATGTATATACTTATAAGTAAATGTTTCTTGGGCTTAATCTGAAAGATATAAAAGTCCATACATAGTGTAATACTCTAAAATACAGAAGAGATATAAACACAGGTATTGGGTCACTCACAATAGATAGAGCCTAAAGAGCAGGCTCTAACTTGATCGCATGTGGAAAATTAGCTTTTCCAGGCTGTACAGAATGGCCCCTCGATCTTCCTATGAATACTGGTATCTGGCTCCAGATGCAGGAAGGATGGATGGTAGACCAAAATATTCAAGCTTTAAAAAAGTATTTACTTCAAATAAAATAACAATATAATAAAAAATAGTATAATAAGACACAACGCATTTCGACAAACTGTCTTTTTCAAGTGCATATCAGATTCTTCATCCGGCGTTCCTTTTAAGTCTGTATTTCCAGAAATTCGATTCTCCCGCCGGAATCTTCTTCCGGTATGACGTCATGACGCACGTTCCGTCGTTGCGTCATGACGCACGTATCGTCATTACGTCACTTCCTGTAGGTCCACTCGACGAACCGGAAGTGACACATAAAGTTCCATTTCGTTTGAGGGCACTCAATTATATTATAGAACACTTAATAACTTTGCACATACATGTATAAAATGTGTCAAACAAATATAAGTTGGTATAATAATAACAAACAGTCCCTGTTAATACAAATGTTAATCATATTCCACAAAATATATAATAATAAAAAAAATAATAAAATCATTTTGTATACAATTTGATAGCTGTACATATGGACACATTAAAACATATCTTGTTCAAAAAATAAATAATAGCAGATACATCTAAAAATATAAAAAGGAGAGAGAAAGAACAGTATTAAAATTAATATATTTCTCATATAAGAACTTTCATTTCAAAATCCAGCATCCCTGTAGGTCAGGCACAGAGACCACGGTCCCATCTGCGCCATCTGGGAGATTGGTGTCTTCCCTTGGTAGGGTAAGCTGCCGCTGGGGAGATAGGGTGCTGTGCTCCTCTCCCTGAAACACAGGCTGCCGCTGGAGAGGGAGACCGCCTGTCTCCACTCCCATAACATTGTCCTGCTGCTGGAGAGAGAGACCAACTGTCTCTGCTCCCTGTAGGACACACTGCTGCTGGGGGGGAAGGACGACACCTTCGGCCCCCTGGAATTCGCACTGCCGCTGGGGAGGAAGGACGACACCTTCGGCTCCCTGTAACTTGCACTGCCGCTGGGGAGGAAGGACGACACCTTCGGCTCCCTGTAACTTGCACTGCCGCTGGAGACTAGGTGTCCATATCCTCAACCTCCACAGTTGTCGCTCAAAGGCCATTGCCGCACTGTTCTCAGCACTCAACTGGCGCATTACTTGGTGGACCACCTCGTTCGAAAGGTCTGGGCCATAGCAGACCAACCGCCTCTTTACCTCCTCAATGTAAGCGTCGTCCTCGTAGCGACGTATCATGTTGAGGTGCTCTTCGCAGGGCTCTATCCATCCCTGCTCCATGCTGCTGTAGTTAGGGACGCTGCACAGTGGCTAGCGTTGCCCTCAATAACCTCTCATACGATACCAGTGTCTCCGAGCTGCTTCTCCTCACACTAGGACGCCATCCCACCACTGCCACCAATGTAACGGAGCTCCTTGTACTCCGACTGAGTACCCTCCGTTGACGGATGCTCCTAGCGCTTCCTGAGGACTCCAAGCAGTGCAGCAGACACCACAACCACCGCAGACTCCACAACCGCTGTATCTTGACTGGAGTCTAACCGTCTTCCTTCCACCCTGGATCAGCTTCTGTCCTCCAGGACTGTGTGGGAAAGAACTCTTCCTTCCACCCTGTATGAACCTCCAGCATCCAGGACTGTGTGGTGAACAACCCTCCTCCAAGGAGAGCGTGTCAGGAACAAGCTTTTAAAAGAGCTAAGTGACTCAAGCTCAGGGGGAGCATGCAGAGCATAGCAATCCCCAGTGTGAATATAACAGCTCCCTCCAATAACGAGACAAGGCTACGTTGAGAGGGATCAAGAAGAACTGTCAAAACCTTTATTTCCCTTGGGACCAGCCAATAGGGTCACCACAATAACATTGTTGTGAAACCTCAATAAAATCACAAACAGTCAAACCATATCAAGCAACACACAGTGACTTATCACAACACAATGGCACATTTTTAAAGGGGTGGGGGGAGACAATATTTAACAGTAAATATCTCACCTGCCTGCAGAATTAGCAATATGCAAATCTACCCGAATATGCAAATGAACCAGTCTTGCAATTCAGGTAGTGCATATTGCTGTTGCTACCAACAGAGGGCACTAGACAAGCTCCATAGCCAAACCCACCTAGTTGGTAGCAAACCTCAGCAATACAAGAGAGCAGGC